TTTTTTTTCTAAAAACAGCTGAGATTAATATTTCCTAGCCTTAAACCCTCCTCATCATTGACAGAAAGTAGCATAGGAGAACGTGCAAAGAAGGGAAAAGAGATTAGAAGAGTCAAACCAAAAGTGTATCAGGAAAAAAAAAATTAAGCAATGTTACAAACCTGCCTACGCAACAAGCCAAACTGCCATTTCCTTGTATCACCTCGAAGTTGTCTGCGCTTTTGGCCAGCACTGTGACATGGGATGTTCAACCAGGAATATCAAAAGTTCAGGCAAAGAAAACAACTAATGTATGACCTCATATGAGTCCATTTGTGTCAATATATGTTATGACTGCTCTATCCATACTCAAGCTAGATGAACCGATACATTATGGACGTTTACTATTTATGCTGAATATTACTAGATGTTAGACAAAATTCAAAGATGTGTAAGGCACATTTTTCAAGCTTATAGCTTGACAAGGTTATAGGCTATGGACACAAGTATTCAAAAAGAAGGCACTAAAATAAGAATTTTATGAAAGACAATCTCAGCTCACTTCCTTAAGTTTCAAGAAGGGTAAGATTTCTAAGTGGAAAAGGAAGGAGAGAATGAAATAGCATAAAAAGAAAGTTGCAAGCAAATGTGAGATATTGAAAAGATGTTTAAAGAACAATAGAAGGGGCCAGGGAAATCGCTCAGTAGAATAAGTGCTTGCATGACAAGCATAAGGGCCTGAGTTCAATCACTGGTTCCACCAAAAAAAGAATACAGTCAGACTAGGACAGGAAAATTCTGTGGAACTCTAAGAGGCCTTTTGGGTTATATTTTGCAGATAATATCTAGCTGTTGAAAATTTCTGAGGCTGAGTGATATAGTTACAATTTAACATGACTATTGATAAATATTAGTAAGAAAGAAGAGTACACAAGAAGATAAAATAGAAAATTACAATACTCCTAGATTCTTTGAGGCAGGTACACCTCAAGTGTCTGTATGTATCTTAAATATAGTACAGAACTATTGATTATAGAAAACCTTTTGATTGCATTTCTTGGACTTCTTTTATTAGGTAACAACTTCTGGCTTGGAATTTTTATTTCATTTTCCTCATTCAATGTTTAGATTAATAAAAATAATCATTATTCCTTATACATTAGCAAAAATCGACACAATTTCCTGTTACTGCCTCATCAAAAGAATATTTAAAGTGATTTTTAAACCACTTTGTTAAAACAATTGCTTTATATCACACACAAATTTTCCCAAATTTCATTTTGTTCTCCAAGAGAAAGAATACTTTCTTTCCTGCGGGCAGATTAGACCTACAAAACCAAAGCAAAATGAAAGGTACTTATCAAGTGAATCTGTAATAGTTACTTCATGGAGTTTTCAACAGATTGGCTGTTTCAAGCAACATAAGAGTAGAAACTGCTTTCTTTGTGTATGTAAACTAGACCACATTCTGGAAAAGAAATCCTCTCTTCTAGGAAAATGGTCCAAATCTGGAAAGTTTTAAACTTGTCACAGATTAAGAAAGTTTTATTCTAGTTTTCAAAAAAAAAAAAAAAAAGATTTAAGTGTTAAATTTCACTTTAACAAAACTCATCACCAAAAATAATTTAACACCTGAAACAGTCATATTGCGTTTGTCTTACACAATATTATCCTGACTTCTAGTCAATCACACTTTTGAAAAAGCACAGAGGAATAGATACTAATTTGGAAAACAAGAATTCACTCCATTTAGGTCACTGAAAGAACTGCCTGCGCTTTGGGACACAGGATTAAGCAGAGGATAGTGTCCTGGTTTGTAAGAGAGCCTTGTTTCTACTTCCACATTTTCCAGTTGAGTGTTAAAAGTTGTCATTTATCAGTGACCACTGGAACCACTCTAATGATCAGCCCAACTTCCTACAAGAGGAGCAAGGGGAGAGTAACAGTGGTTTGGCTCAGCGATGTCAGACACTAAGCCCAAAGGTATGGTCCAGAAACAGATTAGAGGGCTGACACTGAGGAAGGAAAAAACATAAAGGAAATTGATGGGTGGAAAAAAGAGGAGGGGGCATACACAGTACTAGCCAGACTAGAGATCGCGAGGACACAGTCACTCGAAAGAGAAAAATGCTTTACTTTCTCAGCCAGGGGTGGATTTTTTAAAGCAAACAATACCAATAGTTTGAAACTCACTGGAGCCCCATTTGCTTGAACAAACATACTTGCTTTATACCGACCCGAGTGGGCAAGAACCTTTCCTATACTAATATTGAAGACGTAGCTTATTCAATAAATTCATTGAAAATGTCATGCTCCCAAAAACTGTACCTAATTTTAGGGTTCCTACAAAGTGATTCCAGTGCTGCATGAGATTATTAAACCCAAGGGGGAATGGGTGGGGTGCAGAATACAGATGAAGTTTTACAGCATGGAAATAAAAAGTATTTTTAAACCTTCTTGAGGGTGAGGAGTTAGGCAAGAAGTAATACGTGGAAACTGTCAAGTGCTTCTCTACACACCCACCCACCAGATACCATCGCAGCCGGCTGGGGGAAGTCTCCCTCTTCTTGCCTGACAGCTTCACTTTCTTTGAGGTCTGAAGCTGGTGATCACACTGTCCCGTCATGGTATTTTCAGTTAACAAAGCAGTTACTCAACAGGGGAAAAAGCCACAAAGGAGCAGAGCAGCTGCTGCTGCACCCGTGATGCAAGTGCAGGATAAGCCCCGGGCCGCCACCGCCGCCTCGGCTCCTCCGTGACGTCCGGGAGGGGTATCCCCGGCTCTCAGGAAGTGGCGGCCGCGGGCGGCCCCGCCCCCACGCGACTCCGAGCTGGCCGGGCCGCCGGGTGCCAGGGCCGCCGGGCTGCGG